ATAAAACAAAATATTCAAATATGAGCTATAAGACAGGTAATATAAATATTCAGACAATGGTCTAATACTGATAATATTTTAATGACCCCCATAAACCTATTAAAATTAGTTTGACATTAATATGAATGAAACAAATTTAAAGAGATTTAAGTAAAATAAAGTTAGTGAAAATCAGAGCTTTTACAATTCTAAATTAACTTTTATTATACTTACAAAGAGTGTTGGTTTGGGTATGAATATATTATCTTCAGGCTCTCTAGGCACATCCAAAGCCTTTGGTTTTGGACCTTCTGTCACAGTTTTTGAATCCTTTTTAGGAAGGAGTAAGCTGCCCTCATGATGCTTACTGCGCATATTAATGAGCATCTGTTTCATTGCCGCCAATTCCTGTTGATATAAGAAAATAACAAGCATGATTTTAGCTAGCAAGCTAATATAGATAGATGTCAAAACATTTATTGTTATTCTTAAAATAGAAGAAAGATTTGAAACAATTATACTACATAAAGGGAAGTTGTGAAAATAACAAAGCACAATAGTGATGTATTTATCTTGTAATTATTAATAGTCTTTTAATAGGGAAAGTGACAAACATAACATTACATAGGTTAGTGGTCCCAAAATTGTCTGCTCTGTGCATTGGGATCACCTGATGCCTGTGTCCCATGACCAGAGATTGTGAGATAATCAGTCTGAAGTATGGCCTGGACTTTAGAATATTTTAAAGGTCCCCGGGAGATTCTAATGGACAGACCAACTTGAAAAGCACTAGCATAGCCAGTTACCAATGTAGTTTTTTGTTTTTTTAAAAACATATGATTGTTGAGTAGATTAGTTTAGGCACTGAACTTTTTATTTTCTTTGAAAACTATCCTATTCATTTCCTTATAAAGGCTTATAAAAAAAGATGATGTGGGAAAAAGGACCAAATTTTGTTTTTTCTTATCTATGAAGCAGCATTTCAGACAATAGTTTTAATATCATTTCAGGATTTCTTTCACTGCACTATTAGTTCTTATTGCCTTTACAATGATCACTGCAGTTGATTTTATAAATTGCCTTTTGAACTAAGAATTAATTATGCTGAACTTCTTGAAAATAATTCAGATAAAAACTCACCCATTCCCTCTTCCAAGTCTGTTTTCTGTTCTTTCCATCCATTGCCAAATCTTTAGCACCTAATTTTACTACGTGAATATTTATAATGAACTACTAAACAAATTCAATCAAAAATAAATAAACGGAGACACAGCAGACTAAACTCTCCTTTACCTTATGTATCTGTAGAATAGTGGCAGGCTGTATTGTAGGTACTTTTTTCCTATTCTCTTATTTCATCTTCATGCCAAAACACAAAAGCTATGACTGATAAATGTTCTGTTCCCTTCTACTAATCTGTTTATAGACATCAGAGCAAGTTTCTACAAGTCTTTCTTTTCTGGCTGTCATTAGTTCTATTTAGAACTATCAAGTCTGAGTACGTATTTAAAAACAGAGCTGTTGAATTTAAGCCACATAGCCTTAATAGATCCTAGGGATAGGAGAGGAACTGAAAGAAATGCTGCCAGAATCCTTGTTCCTTTTAAACTTTTTTATACTGGGGCTTGCCTGGTCAGTGCACAGGAGAATACATATGAATATACGTGTATTCCTTTAGATACTGCCAATCTTATATACATTATTTGACCTTTTTTGGTGTTCTTTTTGCTTTCAAGATTGTGTTATTCCATATATGTGCTCCCCTGGTAAATAACTGATTTAATGTTAAATATGGCTGATAGATTTCAGCTTTGCCCTACTTGCCACGATAAGGAGAAAGGAAAATGGAGATGATGGTCTCCCAGTCTATGGAAAAAACCAGCACTCTGGCTGCACAACTATCTGTCTGACAGAACATCTTTCTACTAGCCATAACTTTTGTGTATGGCATGAAGATGAAGTAAAATAGGAAAAAAACTAATCTTTAGCAGTCTACCACTATTCTACAGATAAGTATGTAAAGGAGACATTACTTTGTCAGACCTGCTAAGATAAGGGAAGAGGGGATGAAATGAATTAAAGGAGAAAAAAGAAAGAATTAGGGGTCTAATATCAGGCAAAGGACTTTGACCTCCAAATACCTTAGATGAGCTCATAATTTTGCGTCTATTTGGCTTTTGTCTGATGCAGGAATTGGACCAGTTACAGGAAACAGATCACGCTGATGTGGGGCAGGAGACAGCTAAGAAAAGTTCACATAGCTTTGCCTGACCAAGACTTTGGATCACCTTAATTTCGGGTGTAGACACAGCACTCCTTGTATTTGAAAGTATAAACAGTGGCACCATGGCTTCTGAAATTTAGGTAAAGAGCACTTTAAAAGTGTTGAATAATGTCTCTCCAAACTTAGGCCCACCTGGAAATTTAGAATGTGACTTTATTTGGAAACACAATCTGCAGATGTGGGCCCTAAATCCAGTGACTAGTGTTCTTTTCAAAGGTCAAGCAGAGACACAGATACATACAGGGAGAAGATAGCCATTTGAATATGGAAGCAGAGATTGGAGTTATGTTGCTCAGGCCAAGGGATGCCTGGGGCCATGAGAAGCTGGACAAATCCAGGAAGACCTCTTCTCCAGAGTCTTCAGAAGCAGCACAGCCTTGCATACATTCTGATGTGAACTTCTAGCCTTGAGAACTAAGAATAAATTTCTGCTGTTTGAAGTTACCCAGTTTGTGGTCCTTTGCTGTAGCAACTCTAGGAAACTAATATGAAAAGCAATAAAATACTGTATAATTTCCATTAGAGTAATATAGCTATAATTGATACCAAAATAACATTTAGACCCATTTTGTTCAGTTTTATTACATTTGATTGAAATGATAATCTCTTTTATACCAAGAGTAGATAAGAACTAAGAAAATCCCATTTTAACATCAGACAGTATCTATAAATTCATCATATACTGAGTGTACAAAAAGCCAAGTGCATATAGTGGAAATATTTTAATATTGGGTCGAAGTTAAAGACAACACCTACATCTGACTCTATTACTAATTGTGTAAATTTATTTGTTCTATAGTTAGATCAAGCAAGCTTTTAAAATATACTTTAGGTTATTTTC